GTGTGTGTGTGTGTGTGTGTGTGTGTGTGTGTGTGTGTGTGTGTGTGTGTGTGTGTGCGCGCTCTTTTCTCAGGGCTTTGAGCCACGGGGAACATACATCGGAGTGCGCCAGGCCAGCTTGTCTGAGCTGCAGGAGAACACTGGCCCGGGGAGAAAACTGTCTCCTTTACCGCAGCAGCTCAGTAGAAGGTCAGCAGAGAGATTTAGTAGAGTGCAGGCTTTCTACACAGAAGGACTGCACCACTGACCGATGCACACAGATGCTTTACAAATATGAGTTTGTATGCTGCGTGTATAGGGTTGGTCGCCGGAAAGGGCTCTAAAACTGGAAAACTGAGTTTTTGCTAGGGCTTATACCTATGACGGTTACTTAAACATATGACAGAAATCACATTCAAAAATAGAAATAGAAATAAAAGCAGATTGAATATAAGAATATTAGTATGATTTTATTTAAGACTATTAATACAAGAAGATATTAATAAAAGTATATAGTCAACATTTTAACAAAATAAATGAGGGTATTAAAGCTATTCTAATTTATATATATATTTTATATTAATGATCAAATGTGTAATGCAAAAAGGGTAACTTGTAGTAACAAACCCACTGAGAATCACCCCAGACTCTGCAGTTTGATACGGTTGATTTCTTGCGTCTTTTAGCTCCTTGTTATGGTTTTCCATCCTACGACTTTGTTTTGATTCACTCCCACGGCTCTCATCTGTGTTTTCACTGAAAAAGCTCTGATAAACTGTACAATATCTGCTCAGCACCAAACGACAGACAAAGTTAGTGACTACCTGATGATCAAAGTGGAACATTTAGCAGCTAATGGGAGAGATTTCCCTCAGACGTTGGTGGAGACCAAAAAAGAAACAAAAATAAAATTGGACTTACATTTACCAGGTAGCCGGAAACACAACTTCAAATGGCTGTTGCCACATGTCTGCTGGATGTGAAAATATGTCAGAGTTGGGTTTACAGCTTATTGCACAGCCCCCAAGTGGCCAAAAAACAAAACAATTACTGCAAGTTTAAAATGATTCAATTGTGAGACTTTTCAATTTTCCACTTATTTGGAACAAAATGTGTATTTGTATGAATAAGGCTGAAAACGGGCATGTGTGCTTCTATCTGTGCTAGTTTTGGGGGCGCTGTCAGCGGAGACGGCAGTGGCAGCCAGGATGCCTCCAGGCTTCGCATCAAGAGGATGCTGGCCAGAGACTCGTCTCCAGACACGTTCCTCTGTGATGCTCCAGGTGGGTCAGTCCTGATCAGTTCATTCCGGTCAGGAAACCGTCATAAATGAATCTCTCAAATTTATAGTAACAATCAAAACATGGCCATAATCCTGATAGTAGATTTTTGTTATGAAGTTATGAAGGATGCGTAACACTGCTGGCTCCCTCATCCTCAGCAGAGCAAGACAATGAAATGGAAATATTATTAAAACAATGTAAATGTGATGAGGGCTTATTCAACAGTTGAGCAACTTGCATATATGCAAATCCTGTGAGCTGAAGGCAAAGCCTTCCAGCTTGTCAGCACTCCCAGCAAACTAATGAAAACAGTACAACATAAAAAAGTATGAGCAGTTCCAAGACTTGAGGTTTTCACTTTATAAAGCCTTATTTTTTGTTCAAAACAGACGGGAGGATAGAACACACAAGAAATGTGTTTCTAGCCTGGTTCGACAATGGTTTAACCATTCTGACCTTTCTCACCAGTCCAACAAAGTGATGATCCACAGCTGTCCATCTTGTTCCTGTATGTTGAAACCATCCGTCTCTCTCCGTGCAGGCGAGCGTTTGGCTCAGCTGGTGTTTCGATCAGAAAACTCAGCCAGTCTCTGGAGTCTGAAGGCCATCCACGCCATGTGTGAGATGGAGCAATCCAGGGTTCGCTCCGATCTACTCAGTCTCCCCTTTGCTCCTCTGACTTTTGCTTCATTCGTCATCTCTTTAGTCGTCAGCGTCTGTCAATCTCACTCTTTGTCTCCGCTCTCTTTAATCCCCCCGACCCACATTTTAAAAAACTACTTGATGTGCATTGTTTTGTCTGAAATTAATTCATTTTTTCTGAGTTTGTTTTAAAACTGGGCATGTGTTCAAAAGATCTTTCACTCGTCTAATACAGATTCGCTCCCAGGCTCAGTTCCAGGACTTGTGCCAGCAGCATGTGAGGGGGGAGGCCGAGGGCACGTCCAGAGGCGGCTGTTGTCCAAGCTGGTCTCTGGGGAATTACTTGGCTGTCCTCACTAACGCCTCCTGCTGCCTCAGCCTCACCTCACACCAGGTTCTGAAGCTTTCTTCTCTTATTAAGAATTTACCAAGCAAACAAGTTACTACATGAGTTATAGGTTTTTGTAGATGGTACACTGTCCAGTACATGTTGTTAAAGAACAATTGCTTTTTTTAGTCAAGAGTTAGATCAGAAGATTGAGAGTGGGGATGATCTTCTCATCCAACTTTTCTGCAGAAAACAAATGTGCGCATTTTACAAAATTGTCCTTAAAGTTGATGCTGCAGGTTCAGGGAAAGTGGATGAGGTAGTTTACAATACTTAGTTATAACTAACTCTGGAGTGCACTGAATATGTTTTAGTGTCTGAATTTTTTTTCCATTTTCTCCCGAAGGTGTCTGAGTCTTTGAACCTTCTCCGGAAATGTGGTCCGTACTATCATCAGGGACATCTAGTGGAGGCCTGTGTCGAGAGACCCAAACATGGCGGCTGTTCCTCTGTCCCGTCCCGCTGTAAACAATCTCGTGTGGTGTTCCAGATCCTGCACTTCCTGGTTGATAAAGACTTCCTCGGCCCGCAGACCGTTGAATACAAGATCCCTACGCTGAAGTACAGCCTTCTGTTCTTGCCCGTCGACAAAGGAGAACACATGATGGAGATGTACATGAACAGTCTTGAGGGCAGGGAGCTGCGGTACAACAACACCACTATCACTGGCATGGACTTCGGCATCAAGCAGAGGCTTTTCAAGTATTACCTGGCAAGAGATTCCATCTACCCTGTGCTGGCGGTTGCCTCTCTTCTTTTCACTATGGCTCTTTATCTCCACTCTCTCTTCATAGTAGCATTATCTGTGATAGCGATCACAGGCTCCCTCCTGACCTCCTATTTCTTCTACAAAGTAGCATTTCGCCTGACATTCTTCCCGCTAGTCAACCTCTCAGCAGCTCTTATTCTCTTGGGAAGCTGCTCCAATCAAGTTTTCGTCTTCGCTGATTTCTGGAATCTGCAGCTATCCCAGAATCCGTCGGCCTCCCTTGAGAAGAGAGTAAACAGAGCTTTGCAGGAAGTCGGCTATTTGATTTTAGCGTCGGGGTTGACCTCCAGCGCAGCGTTTTTCTCTGGTTATCTCAGCAGCATCACAGTAATCAGATGTTTCGCTGTTTATCTAGGAACGGCCTCATTTATCAGCTCCATCGTGGCATTAGTTTGGCTGCCGTGCTCTTTCATTCTGCGCGAGCGCTACATAGAAGCGTCCTCTGCGTCCGTAGCAGTGCAGGGATGGAAACCATGCTGCTCCAAAAACGCCGGTGGCTTCTGGGATACGAGCTTGCGCAAGAGATGCCTCTTCAAACTCGGGCAGAAGCTGAGAGAATTAAAAAGAGGTCTCAGTGACACTTCCAATTTGTTATTTCTGAAAATCCTGCCTTGTGGAGTGGTGAAGTTTAGGTACATCTGGGTGTGCTGGTTTGCAGTGCTGGCTGCTGGGGGCACGTACATGTCCTGCATTGACCCAGGCATGAAGCTGCCCACCTTAGACAGCAGGGTTGCCCAGCTTTTCCGCTCCAATCACCCGTTTGAAAGATACGACGCAGAGTATAGTCACATGTTTATGTTTGAGAGACAGAGGAATGGAGAGGATAAACCCGTTGAGTTAAGGCTTGTTTGGGGTGTCAAACCAACTGATAACGGGGATCACTTTAACCCCAAGAGCAATAGCTCTTTGGTTTTTGACACAGACTTTAACATGAGCCAGCCAGACGCTCAGGTTTGGTTGAGGGATTTATGTGGACGGGTTCAGAACCAAAGCTTTTATTCCCCTCCGTCACCTGAGGATAAAGACGTTGTGACAGACAATATCTGTCTTGTGGAGCAGCTAACACAGTGGGTGTCTGTCAGGCGGTGCTCAGAAAGTGATGACTCCCTCCATTTTTGCTGTAATGACATCCCTTTCCCCTACCCGCCCAGCGTGTTTGAGAACTGCCTCAGTTTGATGCTGGAGGAGAGGTATGCTGAGGGCCATCTGGCCCACAGCGGAGGCCTGTACTTCCAGCCAGATGGCAGGGTCGCTGCCCTCGTGTTGGCATTCAAAACCACATACTTCTACAGCTTCAACTTTAGCCGAACCAGTCTTTTATACAAAGAAATCCTGACATGGTTTAACAGAGAAATGTCAGGCGCGCCACAAGGGCTGGAGAATGGCTGGTTCATCAGTCACCTGTCTCTTTTTGATCTCCAACAAGCTTTAAGCTCAGAGACTCTAGTAGTAGCTGGCTTCTCAGTAGCTCTCACGTTTGCTTTGCTTCTCTTAACCACCTGGAATATTCTACTGAGCATATATGGGACTGTGGCTGTAGGAGGGAGTGTTTTTGTCACTATCGGCCTCCTTGTTCTTCTTGAATGGCAGCTGAGCGGCATCGAGGCTCTGTTTATATCAGCAGCAGCAGGGCTGTCTGTTGACTTTGTTGCCAACTACTGCATTTCCTACAGCTTGGCTCCTCATTCAGACAAATTTGGCAAAGTAGCACACTCCACAAAAAGAATGGGATGTCCCGTAGCAATAGTTTCTGGTGCATTTTTCTCCATGGGGATCATCATGTTGCCTGCCACGGTCTTGCTGTTCCGAAAACTGGGGATTTTCCTCTTTTTGGTGAAATGTGTAGCATGTGGATTTGCAACCTTCTTTTTCCAGTCCCTGTGTTGCTTTTTTGGACCCCAGAAAAACTGCGGAAAGATCTCGCTGCCGTGTTTCTCAGATCACAATGATGGCGTGCTGTCCTCCTGCTCGGCAGCAGAGCCCGGTTCCTTGTCAGCTAACGGGGCCTTTGGCAGATCTAGAGTGAGGAGGAGTTATGACAAAGAAGCAGGTGACTATCTCTACCCCGACCACCATCGTCCCCAGAGACAGAAACAGACTGGAGCAGGGGGAGCTGGGGGCCGAGGACCGGAGCAGTACGAGCTGCAGCCGTTGGCCTATCGACTGAGCGACAGCTTTGAAAACAGCACATGCACCAGTAAGCTGTCCAACCGGCCGTCTGTGCTCTCTGATGAGATCGATTACTGTGGGAGGGACGTGGGCAGAAATAGCATAGGTGGGGACAGTGAGGAGATGTGCAGTCGTCAACATGACACCTGCCAACAGCCTCCAGCCCTTCAGACCTCATCTCCGTACAGAGAAAATGCCCTGCGGCCTGAAGGCGTAGCGAAGGACAAGCTGCTGTGTAAAACATTCAGAGGCCAGTCTGGTGGGGTAAAGGACTGGAGCAATACATCGTTCTCCTCATCTTCCAGCATGGAGGACACCATCGTCAGCCACACACTGGAGACCATTGACCAGCCATCTCACTGCAGAGACGACCAAACCACAGAGGAGAGCCTCCATCACCATCACCACCCTAATACAGGGAACCTCTGCTCCCTGTCTCAGAGCTCCTGCGAGGGTCTGGAGGACTCTAATGAAACGTGCCTGAGTGACACTGAACCAGGGCCTTCCAGTACGCAACAAAATGAAGGCGAAGAAGAGGTTCAGTTACAACCAGGACATCTAAACGGGAAGAGAGACACACTTCGTCTCTCACTGAAAGAAACCGTTTATGAGACTAATAAGGGCCGCACCAGTCAGAGTGAAGAAGCTGTGATCTTACCCAACAGTAAGCCAGACCTGCCAGACGTTTGGATCAAGAGAGGTGGAAAACGTGAGGACACATGCTGAGCAAAGATGGAGGAATCTTTGCAAACAATATACTTACATAGGCATATACAAAAGTAGCATACACCATTACTTTTGAGTAATAAAGGAAAAATAAGCCACCCAAATGTAACATGTGACAGCATGTTTGTCTAATGTTGCTGCCAGGGTTGTTACAGATCATGAGTGTCTCCTCAGTGAAAGGTCTAATCAAAGCATGACTTGTAAAAAATGAAATGAAAGACAATGAAAGATAAAGCTTTCATAGAAAAAAAAAAAATCAAGTACTGCACCTGCTGCTGCAGAGTTTACTTTGTGCCTGGAACTTTTGTAACATCTGCACGGACTGGGTTATAACGAAATACAGTGTCTCCATGCAGGAAAAGACCTCAATGAGCCATATACATTCATGGACTGAATACTATTTGATAAATGTGAGATAAACGGAGAAAGAGCTGCATTGAGTCGCAAACTATCACTTCACGAAAGTCAGTTGGTTTTGCACTTGTGGCAACAATGTGTACAGTATGTCCTTTGTGACCATTGCATAGAAAGCCAGAAAGCTACAGTGAGTAACGTGTCATTTGTAGTGTCCTAGGTTGGTTGCATTTAGTGTTTCACTGTCAAATTAAGAGTCATGCTGTTTATTCAAGTGTTGGTGCCAAATGTTTACGTACTTTACAAAAAGGCAAAAAAGGGTTTTAATGCAGATATAACACTATGTGTGGGTTTATACACTGTTGGCAAATTAAGGAGGAAGCTCTAATCTCTATTTCTGAAGCAGTAGTTGTGCATCACATGCAACTGCTTCAACAGCTAGCAATTTGTATATAGACCTTGCAGCAGCACTGTTAAGAGAACCTCCAACAGATAATCTACGAAGAGGAAAGCCTGTCTACAGCCCACCCCACAGTTGAGATGTCACATCAGCTGGTTTTATGTGCAAATGACAGTATTTATGACATAAACAGCATGTGCCAAATGTCTTTCAACAGGTTGTTTCAGATGCTGAAACTACAGAAACTCTGTTTTGTGCAAAGAGTGCATCCTTTAAAAAAGTAAAGATAAAAGAGATGTCTATGGTTCTTGATAAGTATATAAAAAGAGGTGTTAGAGGTGCAGTGATGGTGGTCAGCACAAAGGCCTGGCAAAGAAGAGACTTCTGTCTGATGTGCCTATGAGCAGCTTTATTTTCCAGCTTTCTCTTTGTAAGTGTTTTCTTTTGACATCTTGACTGTACAATCACAATTCTACATTGAGCATTCATTTTAAAAATCACTCGGCAGAAAATAACCTGCCTTAGAGACGGACAAAATGATTCACAGGCTTTCAATCATCAGACGAACCTAAAGGTCTAGTGTGTGGGATTGCAACCAACTGGAACTTCTCTGGTGTGCCAAGTGTGTAGGCACCACAGCGGCAGATGAGAAGACGCTAAAGGCCCCATCGAGCCAGTGCTCCGTTTGTCTATTCTGGGCTTCTGTAGAATAATGGCAGTGCAAAAGGCAGACCCCACGAAGACGACCCGCTTGTTATGTAGATATAAATGGCTCATTCTAAAGGTAACAAAATTACAATTCTTATTGTCAGGTGATTATACACTTGAGAAAACATACTTATCAATATTATATTCCATTTTTGCCATTAGTTCCTCCTAAACACTACACACTGGGCCTTTAAAGGTGGAGTCAGGGATTCTGACTCCAGTGAGAGCAAGAGGATTGGTACATATGGAGGGGGGGGGGGGGGGGGGGGTTATTTCTTTCTCCAGAATCGCTGACTCCACCTCTACCTCACCGCCACTATCGTTTACAGGTGTCAATGTTAACTTTTCACAAAGCTCAAATAAAATAAATCATTTATTTTCCTGCAGACTGGCTTTTTATTTCAGATCATGGTTTGAGCACTGGGCAGATTACAGACTTAAAAAGGATGAAATCAAATTAAAACTATTTTCTTGACGATTAAAACAAAAATGAGAATGAATACAAAACCCATTTTCTATTTGTATTTAAGGCATAAAAAGCTTGGAGCCAAAGGGAACATATTTCTACATTCAGCATATGTTAAGACAGGAACATCTAAACTGCCTCAAAGCAAAACCTCTCAAAGGATTTCTGATCATTCTTTTCAATGTCTGGGGAAAAAGCATGCACGATGGCAGTAACCTAAACACCAAAGTCATGAGCATCAGGTCATCACCAATCCGCCTCGACCCAGTCCTCTTTGGCCCAATCGGGTAAACTTGTGGAATATTCAAAGTCAGGTCCTTTGTAGCGTAAAGCGTGGAGATACATGATGAGTTCCTTCTCTGTGGGATCTGGTCGGACCAGCTTACATTCACTACACAGGTGGTCTCTCGTCTCGGGAGGACTTTTGAGAGTTGTTGCCTCCGTTTGATTTCCATTTGATTTGTTGGGCTGAGTTTTGGGAGAGGAGGCATCGTTACCGTCTGGGTCCGTGCAGCCCTGACTCACCTTATCCACCGTCTCACTGCTTGAGCTGCCACATGCTGGCACATGTGTGTCGGTCTGATGACTCTCTGCACTTTTGTTGGGTTCAGACGGGCCATCTAATGATTGTCCTTTCTCAGACGTTTTGTTTTTCTCAGCCTCTTGCTCAATCCCATCGTCCGGAATATCCAGCAGGTGGAGACTTTCCTGCGAGCGATGTTCCTCTACCAGGGCCTGAAAGAGCTCCTCATTACTCTTTCCCACCAGTCCCCCCCTCCCCCTGTGAGGACCCCAGGCCAAGGACCCATAGATGGGATCATTGAGGATGGGGAAGCCCAGGTACTGGAGGTGGACCCTGATCTGGTGTGTGCGACCAGTCACTGGTAAACAGCGGACCACGCTGGTTTTCCCATTAAAGGTGAGCCTCTGGAAGACGGTTCTGCAATCCTTTCCCTTCGGATCGACACGGCAGAGGCCAATTTTAAAGGAAACGACCAGGATGGGCTCCTCGCAGATCAGCTCCTCTTCTGGAAACTCACCCTCTACTCTGCACACGTACTCCTTTTCAAGCTGTTAGAAAGTACAAATATAAAGGACATTTTTGAGACCGCTATGGCAAATGCACCTTTGATGCATTACGGGAAAAGTATGACAAAAGCTAAAGAACATCTCCAGAGAAATATTACCATTATTGTCTAAACCCACTGGCATAAGAATGAGCACATGTCAGTGGTTGTGCTGTGGATTTAACCACGTGAAAGCGTCCTGAACGTACCCGTCTGTCTCTCACCAACTGGTCCAGTTTCTTTGATGTCTCCAGCGTCCTGGCAAACAGCAGCACTCCCGAGGTGAGCCTGTCCAGTCTGTGGACTGTGTGGAGCTCAGAGATGCCTCGCTCTTTTCCCAGGATGAAAATCACCGTGTTGTGGCGGAAACGGCCGCAGGGGTGGACCGGGATGGAGGCGGGCTTGTTGACCACAAGCACTTCCCCGTCGTCCACCAGAACCTCCAGGGGTCTGCCGACTACAGGGGGCTCGTGGCGATGCACCGTGTTCTTCATGTGGTCATTATTCTGTGGATGGTCACAAACACGTTTGTGATACAGCAGATCGCATGAAACGGATTTGGTTTAGTTACATCTTTAATGAGAGGAATGGAGGTTAAACTTCTGGCATGTGACAAAAAGTATTCTGTCCTAACAAGAAAAGCTAGAGACACATTTAAAAAGGCTAGGTCACATTTAGAAACATCAATACAGCAGACAGACTTAATATCACTATATAGGAACTTATTCTGTCATTGAGCCATGCTTACAATAGCCTCATGATAACACTGGCACCTCAGACATGACATCATACATGGTGACACTGACCCTGAGCACCACAGACAGGTCGTCCACAGGTGTCTCGTTCAGCCGGATGCGACCCTCTTTGGTGGCCCTCTGGTAATACTCGATGGACTCGGCTCTGAACTCGCTCTTGAACACCTCCAGGAGGCTCTTCCCAATCCACCGACCTTTGCAGTAGGTTTTGAAGTCGAAGTAGTACGGGTACACTTTGCGTAGGCCACCTTCAAAGTAGTACGAGGTCTCGTCGAAGTGCTCCTTGCTGAAGCTCACACCCGGGTTCCGCTTCTGCGGAGGGGGGATGTATCTCTCGCCCGGACGGAGCTTCTTCCCTCCCGCTCCTCTTCGCCTCTTGCTTTGGCCACTTGTCTCGGCTTCGCAGGTTGTCTCGTCGCTCTTTCTTTTCACACTCTCTGCCGCCTCTTCCGTGGTGGTTTTCTCACCGGACACCGGCGTGTTTACCTCCGCCGGTGGCGTTGAACTGTCGCATGCTGCCTGCTCCATCGTCGAGCTGCTCCGTTTACACCGTGGAGAGTAAAAATGGCGATTCAGAGGACAAATAACGTTGTAAAATGAAATAAAGTGACGCTGTATTTGCTCAATTACATGCCTATTTTTATTATTAACGCCCGTTTGAGCCGAAGAGAAGACAGACAGCAAACTACGTTTTCTCAAACCTCTGACTGACACACTCACGTGCATCGCTCTCTAGCTGGAGGACCTTCTCGCTAAACGCGCACAGCGATGACGTAAATATGTAGTCCAATCAGTCCAATGTGTAGTTCAACGCATCAAACCTTACCGTTTCTTCTTCTTTTCATTTGTCTTTATGAACAAATCAGCTCATCAACGAGGCATTATCGCCACCAACTGTTCAGAATGCGTATTTAGTTTGGTTTTTAATTAGATATTCTCAGAGATGGACTGATATGAGGTTGAAGTCATAATATTAATAAGTGTTTGTCTATTATATGAGAAGAGGTTGTGTAGCTGGAATTCTCTGGAAAAACGATTTAAAATGTTCATCAATGATTATTACATTTAAGGCAATATGTCTTGAAAGATAATAAGGTACGGTAATATTGAGGGTAAAATAATTTATTCTATTATTTGTATTATGTTGTCACAGAACAAGGCTTTTATTTTACTCTGTTGAGAGTAAATATGGTATTCTGTATAACTATGTTGAATAAATTGGTGCCAGACAATAACATTTTATTTTATTAACTGTAGAACCTTATTAAAATCTTGTGTCCTACTCTCCTTCAAAATATTAAACGTTCCTTCCGTGTCCTTTCTGTAGCTCTCCCTGACCCTGATGAAATAATTTGCTGTAGAAAAGTGAAAACGATAATTTATCCATTTAGTAGGTTTTATTAATAAATCTTACACATAATTCAGTGCCTCAGTTAATCATTTTTTGGCACAATACCCCCTTTGCTCTACAGGAACAATGTCAAACAGGACATATCCTAAACATACAGTATATGAAGCCAGTAAAAACTATTTCCTACCACAAAATATATATATTACATTGTTAATTTGCTGAATTTTCAATTAACTTCCTTGGCTTGTACTTGGGTTTGTATTTAAGTGTTACTGCATTCAAAGCCAAAGTGTTCCCATAAGATTACACACAAGGTCACACATTTACCACTCATCTGAGTTTCCCACAATCATCCAGAAGAACACGTTCTGTAGCTTCTTAAGCTGATATTGCACTTTTCTCAAGGCTGAACCTGACTGACTTACCCATATATAAAATACTGTGAATCACTTCGATCTCAGGCAACCTGTCTTTGTCATCCACAATAACCTCATCACTCTCTAACTGACCCAGAGCATTCTGAGAGTATGGTCATCAGTCCAGCGGTGGTCGCTCATTCAGTCTGAGTTTGATCACTCTTGTAAGACGATCTGGTCGGGCAAACAGAGAAGGATCCTCCTTGTACTTTGCTGGGAGACAACCCAGTGGGGCAGGTGGCTGTTAAGACCAGAGCTCAGTGGAACGATGAGAAGCGCTACGGGGCCCCGGAGATGCAACACCAACGCCACCTCCTGTGGGGGCAACCACACTGCAGTCAGAGCTCACCTCTGGGGAGAGAGGGAAGGACAGCGTTGGTATGATCAGGAACAAGCCACAGGATGGAGGTGGATGTGACTCATGAAACACATTGAAGATTACAGAGGCAGCTGACAGAGGTTAGTCAGTAGATAAAGTGGTTTTCATTCATTGATTTGGGTTTTAAAAATGATAGGTTATGAGTGTTTTTGTGCAATACCCAGGCCACTGACGCCTCTTGTCAGTCAGGGGGACGTAAATCACTCCCATCAGAGCTTTCTTGAGAAAGGTCCCATCGCTCTGCCGATCGTACTGTTCCAACACCTGACTGCCGCCGTCGGGGCCCACTGGGAGAACCAACCGTCCACCAAGCTTCAGCTGCTCCAAGAGCTTTGACAAACAGACGGCAGAAAACAGAAACTTCACATGAGTTCATGTTCAAGAAGCAATTTCCGGCTGCCCTCTGCATATCGAAGTTCCCTCATAGTTTACAGCACTATCTTTTTAGGGACCCCTGACCGTTTAAGATTCACTTTACTACAGTAGATGTTCGATCATGCAGACAAATGAGATACATCACTCCTAGAACCCACTCCTTTTTCGGCTAAAAAAAACTTTTAAAGTTTTTGGACTCATCTTTGAGCTACAGAGACATTTTAAACTGGATTATTTTATAAACAGGATTAAGGATTATTTGAGCACTGAATGTACTTGTCATGACACTAAATTACAATTATTTGTTTGATGCAATGTGCTGGTTTTGTTTCAAGTCTGTTGTCTACTTTATTTGAAATTCTTCATGTCTTTATCTTTTTGCTGTTTTGATTTTTAAGTCGGTTATTTGTGTTTTTATGTGGTGTGAAACATCTTGCCCAGGACTCTTGAAAATGAGATCTTAAATTCTCAATGCGATTATCCTGGTTAAATAAAGGATACATATGTACTTCAATGTGTTTTAACCTTAACTCTCTGTGCTACATTGTTGTGGATTTTGGATGTAGCTAAATAAGTGCATGATTTCTCTTATTCTATTTTCACAGAAGTGAAAGCCATACGTGTCCTTACAGCCTTAGGAACAGTAGCTGCAGCTGCACCAACATGAATGGCATCATACGGCGCTCCTTCTGGGTGTCCGAGCCGTCCATCTCCCACTGTGGACAGATGTAGGTTTGACTTTTAGCTTCCATGGCTGTGCAACATCAAAATTTTAAAAAAAAAATCCATGAATTCATCTCATGACTCACTTGTAAGTCTGATGCGTCCAGAGCTGAGCAGTTCTGGGTCGTCAGCTTGCACATTTTTTATTGACATTTGAACCAGTTCATCAATGTGTTCAATGCCAACCACTTTACCACTAGGTCCTGTCTACAAACAAAAGAAAAATGCAGCTATTGAACTCACTCATATAGTGCATTTTACACCAACTGGTAGGAAACATGCAAAGTTTATACAGCACTTACCATCCGTGCAAAGCAGGCTGTGAGATATCCACTTCCTGAACCCACATCCAGTGCCGATGCCCCTTCAGTTAGTTTGTCACTTAACAGCTCCAAAGCATGAGCATGCTGTCAAACCACCATAGAAAAACATTCAGCCCATCACGTGTATGTACATGAGTGAATTATAGCAGTTCAGTGCTTGTTACTCACCATGTGTGGTGCACTGATGGTCGCTCTGTAGCCTGTGATAATAAAAAGCATAACACAGTCATAATCACACATCTGTGCTCATGAAACACAACATAACACACAATGAATGCATTAACTCAAACTGTTACCATATTAGTAGGCAAGTGTGTGTATGCGTCTTTAAAGAATGACTAAAATGGATACCTATGGACTGAGGAGAGTCTGCATAAGGATAGTCTATAGCGTAGAGCCCTCTGTCTGTAGCCAGCATGGCATCAAACACTCGGTTGCTGCGGATCACTCCGTGATCTGGAGGAGAAAAGAGGCAATTACACCGACCGAAAATAGAAAATGTGTGCAGGTTGAACCCTGTGACTTTCCATTTACCCTTTAATGTGAATGGAAAACTAATTAATACAGGCTTTTTAGATAAAACAAATGAGAATGAAAGCATAGTACTGGGTCAAAATATATGCACACATATACACATATACATACAGTTGTGTGAAAAAGTGTTTGCCCCCTTCCTGATTTCTTATTTTTTTGCATGTTTGTCACTTAAATGTTTCAGATCATCAAACAAATTTAAATATTGGACAAAGATAACACAAGTAAACACAAAATGCAGTTTTTAAATGGTTTTTATTATTAAGGGGGGAAAAAATCCAAACCTACATGGCCCTGTGTGAAAAAGTGATCCCCCCCTGTTAAAACATAAATTAACTGTAGTTTATCACATCTTTGGAAAGCTGAGTTCAATTTCTCTAGCCACACCCAGGCCTGATTACTGCCACACCTGTTCTCAATCAAGAAATCACTTAAATAGGACCTGCCTGACAAAGTGAGGTAGACCAAAAGATCCTCAAAAGCTAGACATCATGCTGTAAAAGTAACACGGCATTTCAGAAAAGGAACATCATACCAACAGTAAAATATGGTGGTGGTAGTGTGATGGTCTGGGGCTGTTTTGCTGCTTCAGGACCTGGAAGACTTGCTGTGGTAAATGGAACCATGAATTCTGCTGTCTACCAAAAAATCCTGAAGGAGAATGTCCGGCCATTTGTTCGTGACCTCAAGCTGAAGCGCACTTGGTTTCTGCAGCAGGACAATGATCCAAAACACACCAGCAAGTCCACCTCTGAATGGCTTAAGAAAAACAAAATGAAGACTTTGGAGTGGCCTAGTCAAAGTCCCGACCTGAATCCGATTGAGATGTTGTGGCATGACCTTAAAAAGGCGGTTCATGCTCGAAAACCCTCCAATGTGGCTGAATTACAACAATCTGCAAAGATGAGTGGGCCAAAATTCCTCTACAGCGCTGTAAAAGACTCATTGCCAGTTATCGCAAACGCTTGATTGCAGTTGTTGCTGCTAAGGGTGGCCCAACCAGTTATTAGGTTTAGGGGGCAATCACTTTTTCACACAGGGCCATGTAGGTTTGGATTTTTTTCCCCCC